AACAAGGGCGGGCGCGCCCGCAGTGCTGGGCAGAAAGTGCGACCAGGAAATGGCTGTGGGCCACTGGTTTGCCGAGTACAGATGGAACACCACCATGTGTGGGAACGCGTGTCGCCTCGCCCGCCGCCGTCGTGAACGGCCCCCGCAGGCCTCCTGTCTGCTGCTGGGCCCGTCCTCCGAGCAGGGAAGGCATGACGCCCCCATCCTGAGTGGCCCACTGTGGCCCACTGTTGGTCGGCAAACCAGGATACCAGGAAGCAGCTGAAGGCTGCACTTTCTGCAAAGAAGCCACAGCGACCTGAGCGTCCGTGCGCGGCGGGCTGCGTCTAGGGTGAAACAAGTCTCCCCTCCCCCGAGCCGCAGCGGCTGTCTGGACAACGCCCGCGGCGCTTGCCCCTCCCCCAGGTATGCCCCCGTTCTCAAGGGGCTCCCGTCCAGGGTATGGGGTGTCCGCGTTCGAGCGCCGCTGGCGGTGCGCTCGGCCTCTGGTCGTTCCCCTGGATGTGCCCGCTTTCTCCACGGGCTCCCCAGGGTTTGCGGCTCCGAGCGGCGCCCGCTCCGTCCTTCTGGCGCTCTCCCCCCGCCGCGGGCCCCGCTCCCTGGCCGCTCCCCTGGGTGTGCCCGCTTTCTAAACGGGCTCCCCGGGTGTGCGGCGCTGGGTGGGGTGACGCGAAGCGTCAAGAAACTTAAAAGCATGGAGAAGCTACGAAGATGGATGGGGGGGTTGTTTTTGAAATTGACTTTTCTCCCTGAGCGCTGTGGACAATCGTCGTAGAAACCTTGCAGCAGCTATGAGGATTTAACACACGTCGTTTTTCCCAACCATCCTGTAATGTTGGGTGCTCGTTTTGAATCCGCGGCGCCCCGCGTCACCTCCTCCCGCTGCCCCCTTCATTGCTCCTTCTTGCCTGTGTTTTTCGCATCTCCTCTTCTCCTCACACGTTCCCTCACATGGTCCTTGGTCCGGTAGGGACCTCCACCGGAGCTCCTGGGAGTGGGGGGGGGCACACAGCGTCCCCCAGTCCATTTCGGCTCTTCGTGGCCCCATAGGGAGCTCCACCTAAGGCCCCAGTGGGCGCGTTCACATGCGGCCCGCAAATTTCGGCACACCCATCACACGTCTCGCGGCCGCATAGGGAGCTCCACCTAAGGCCCCAGTGGGTGCGTTCACATGCGGCTGCGTGCCCATTTCGGCACACCCCTCGTACGCGTCGTGGCCGCAGAGAGCTCCTATGAAACGCCCTAGGGAGGGGCACATAGCGTCCACCGGCCCAGTCAGGCACAACCCTCACACGCCTCATGGCACCATAGGGACCCCCATCGAAGCCTCAAGGGGGAGGGGCACATAGAGTCTGCCATCCTATTTCGGAGCTTCGTGGCCCCAGACAATTTCGGCATACCCATCACACGTTTCGTTGCCCCATAGGGAGCTTCACCTAATGCCCCAGTGGGTACGTCCACATGCGGCTGCGCATCAATTTCAGCACACACCTCACACGCTTCGCGGACACCCCTCCTTCGTCCCGCATGCCTTGTGGCACTCACACTTGCAAATATTTAAGCCCTTCGCCTGGATAATGCCAAATGTGGGTTTTGCCTTTGCACCGCGATCATTCGTTTCAAAAGATTGCAGACTCTATTGTACGAAGATGGAGGGCGGCTCCTTTTCAAAGTTAGGGTTTCACCTTAGCGCCGCGTACAGCTGTCTTGAAGGTTTACCACAGCTACAGGGATGGAGGACGGTTACTGTTCAGAGTGGGGCTCTCGCCTGAGACGCACTGTACATTAAAAGCCATAAGCTTCAACATATGTAGCAGGTGCACGGGTGGAGGGCTGCGCCCATTCAAAATCAGATTCTCGCTTGAGGTAGCATCGAAGTTCATACTCAGAGATTTGGATTGTGCATCTGATGCACCAGTGGACTGTCCTTTTTCAAGACGGGCACCTCGCTGGACACCTTCTTGAACTGTATGGTCGTACCTCCCCGCATTCCTGGCTGTGCGCGAGATGTATACAAGGCAGTAGTGCAGTGAAAAGAAAGCGTACAAGGAATCATAGGGAGGGGACTTTGGACGGGAGGATGCTTTGCAGCATCGCTGATACAGCTTGGGTTTACCCTGGTCCGTCCTTTTCCACCTCGTCTATCCTTCTCCTCCTTGCCCATGCGCCCACTCGTCCCTCTTCCTCCTCCTGGTCCATTACCGCCCCCATCCTCATCCTCGCCATCACCATCTTAAGCATCGTTGTCGGCGGCGGCGCCGTCATCATGATAGCGAATGATGCGGAGTAATGCCAAAAATGAAAACCAAGACAAAACCATTGCCCAGCTTGCTTCACAAACCCATGTCAGCCACCATAGATCCGACAGGCATGGTCTTCGAGGCCAAGCACGACGTAGGCTAGATCCTGCTGATTGTCAGCGAGGTGGAGGTGGCTAAGAAAGCGATGTTCATCTAGGGGTTGGTCAGGTGGTTCAGTTCCCTGCTGGCGGATGCCGAGGAATTGAAGATGGCGACGACTCCGCGAATGAGCTCCGTCGCTTGGGCTCAAAAAAGCGTGGAACAAGTCCGTGACAAGCTCCACGGCTTCACCAAGCCGACGGGCTACCCCGACAACCACGTGTCCTCGTCTGGAGTGCGGACGTCTACGCCTCAGGCGGTCACGGACACCTGTGAGGGCACGTGGGCCAAGGTGTGGGAGGCCGAAGGGATCACAGACGCGGCGACCCTGGACACCTAGACAGGATCGAGGCAGTCTTGGAGGACGACGGGGTGCCGCCCACGCTCGAGCAGCAGGACGTGCCTCGCGCCGAGCGCCACCGCATGATTCTCTCCCTCCCTTGGGGTCGAGGGCGATACGGTCGGCGGCTCGAAACTTCTAGGGAAGACGGGTTTGGAAGCTGACAGGTGGAATGTATCGCCGCCTGTGGGCTCAAGCCTCGTCATCCATGGGCTACTCATTCTAGTTGTGCAAACCCTTGGCGCTTTGCACGCCATGGTGGTCCTGAATCGAAGGCCGCCTCCGCCAAGCGGGTTCCGACCGGCTTCGCTATTGCCTTCGGCCTTCGTTCTACCACGTCGTATGGACCAAGACGAGGACCCACATACACACACAGGTCCTGGGCACTTGCTAACGAGAAGCCTTACCTGGCCCTCGACACGGGGAAGTGCTGTCAAGACGTGGCAGCTCGGCTCCTGGTGGCGGCCACAGCGGACTCTGAAACTGAGGACGGCCAACAGGTGGTCACCATCACGGGGCTCTTGGACGTCGGAAATGCCTTCGATAAGCTAAACTGGCACATCATCGTGGCCTCGGCGCGCTCGAGGTGGGAATCTCTAATAGTCGTGAAAATGAAGATGACCATGCGCACCGCCTGGCATGGGTCACGGCCACCAATTTCTGGCAGGGCCTGGGATCCGGCCGCGTGGGGCAAGATCAAATTGCCCGGCTTCGGCACGCGGCCGACTGCAGAAATGCCGAATCCAAAAATGTTGACGTCTCACGTTGGCTTCCTCCGCCTTCGCCATCCTCCCGACGGACCCATCCCCATGATACTTCCGCCGCCTTCCGCCGAAGGCGAGACGATGCCTCGGATCTGGCGGCTGGCGTGTTTCCCGAGACACGGCCGTGGTCCTCGCCAGACGGCCAGCTGCACTTCTCGAGGCGCAGGCCCTCGGACTTTTCGATCGACCCCTTCCCTTGGGCGGGCGTTCCATCCCGGGCCGTGTTTGACGGTCCCGGGGCTGGCCTGGATCGGAGGGTCCTCCTCAGAGAAACATAGCGTCGCACTGCTGCGCCAGCAAATGTGTCAATACACCAAAAATGTGAAAAGCCACTTCACCGTGAGATGAAAACCTTGGGGCAACTGAAAATACCCGCTGGGCACGCCGTCTCCGGGAAGGCGAAAACGCCCTGGGTTACTACATCTCGGAGACACCGAGACATGAGCCAGACGAAGGGGGGCGATAGCAAAAATGGGCGGCGCGCCCAGGGGGGAGGTGAGATGGGGAGGGCCTCCTCACACGGCTCGGAAGGTCTCCGGTCTTCTGAAAAATTGCCCAAGTCTTCCCGAAGGCACGAAAAACCGATCAAAGGCCAGAGGGCTTCTGAGGAGCCCCGCCGCCTTCTGAGAGGGCGGTCTCCTTCTCAATTCCCCCCCCCACTCGCTCGCCGCCGAGAAAAGGGGGAATGGCAAAGAGGGTTCGCGAATCCGCTGCGTGCAGCCAGTTTCTGCTGCACCCTCCGCCGCTGCGGGCGAGCATCGGGGAAGGCGCCTGGACGCTGGGGCCGACAAAACAGCTGCATGCAGCGGATGTCGTACGCCCCTGTTTCGAGTTGAACAGACTCCAAGCTAAGAAAATGGCTGTCACTCCAAACGCCTTTTGAAAACAGTAATCTGGATCCATATCTACGAACAGTAGACAAACAAATCCAAGAGAACGCCCAGGGTCCAGTCCACATTCCATGTGTTCTTAACGAAGTCTGGACTCCACGAAGCAATGTTTCTTCTCATGGGTGTACCCACTTTCCCGATCACCCCCCTTCCTGAAGATCCGACGTTTGCGGGAACAAAAAAAACATCCTGATAAATCACTACCAAAGCGACCCCCTCTTTCTGGTGCACTTTTCGAGGCGAATCGGTACAGGAGGGCCCAAAGCCCGAAACTGTGCGAAAATGACAGGTGTGGAACAAATGCGACGTCTGGACCTCAGTTGGCGGCGCCCGCAAGGAGAGTGTCGCGAGGGGGGCGGCCTTCTAAAAAGGCGGACGGTTTCTCAGAAGGCAGGGACCCTCGCAGAACGGCCTGGAGGATTCTAAGAAGGCTTCTTAGAAACTGGGGGGGGGGGGGTCCCACAGGCCAACTGCCTTCCGAGGACCCCCCCAGCCCATTTTTTAAAGGCCGCCCACCTCGCGCCCCCTCCCCCCCTTGCTGGCGCCACCAACGACTTCGCCCGACCCGATCCTCTCCCGCCGCAGCACTGCGGAGGGGGCGCTGGGCCTACGACGGCAGCTGGCCCAGTCCCCAGGACGTTGCGCGCGAGGACGCCGCCTGTCTTCGGGGGGTGGGTTCGCGCGGCCTGCCCGCCCCAAGTGGCCGAGAGGCCTGGTGCCCACTCCTCGTCCTCGTCCTCCTCCTCCTCCTCCTCCTCCTCCTCCTCCTCCTCCTCTTCCTCATTCTCCTTCTCCTCCTCCTCCTCCTCGTCCTCCTCCTCCTGCTCCTCCTCCTCCTCCTCGTCTTAACCGCTGTCCTTTCATGATTAGCCGTAGTATAACGATGATTTGTGTTTCTAAGTATTCGAAACACCAAGAAATGTATAACGGCACTCACATCATCATTACCAGTATGAGATTCATGATGTTTCTTATTATTATGCTTAGTATTAGTATGTTCGTTGTCTTTACTAGTGCCAATCGCCTTTTTTGCTTCATGAATAGTATGATGGTTAGTATTCGTATTATGTGTAGTTGATTTATTATTATTAGAACGTTTAGCATTATTCTTCTTAGTCATTAGTATGTGTAGTATCCCTGATAGTACAACTGTTAATAGTGTTAGTAGTGTCGTGGTTATTCGCATTATCACTATTACTCTGATTCCTCATCCTCCTCCTCCACAACTTCCTCCTCCTCATCCTCCTCTGTTGTTCCTTAGTCTTATTATTATTAGTAGTAATATTATTCGTATAATCGTTCATGATTGTAATATTCGCATTATGATTATCAGTATTAGGACTCGTTTTTGTTATTCTTCCTCGTATTCGCATTTGTATTCGCATGTTTCTTTCTCATACGTCTATGATTATTTGAGCGCGCCCGTTGTGTTACAAGAGAGGGGATCGGGTTTTGAAACGGTTTTTTTCAGTTACCGATAATTCCCTGGTCGAGCTTCCCTATAATTTCCCTATAATTCCCGAATTCCCCAATTCCAATAAGTTCCCTTGGATTTCAGAGAGATGTTGAATAATTCCCGCCTAATCCGACTAATGACTACGGGCGTCAGTCATACTCGGTCAGACAAGATACCGTCCAGAACTAACGGACCTCCCGGGGACCTCCCGGGGCCCCACCTCCCGGGAACTCTTACCGATAATTTCCTGATACGGGTTAAAACAATCACAACGAATTACCGTGAAGGCCCCCACCGCCCGGGGCCCCACCTCCCCGGACCTCCCGGGAAACTTTTCCCTCTAATGCCTGGACGGCAATTCCCGCTAATTCGGGACCTCCCGGGAGCTCCCAAAACCCGGACATAGAGGGCGAATACGGAGATTGTCCTCCTCCTCCTCCTCCTCCTCCTCCTCCTCCTCCTCCTCCTCCTCCGTCTCCTCCTGTATGCGAACGCATCCACCAGGGCCTTGGAGTCGAAAAATAACAAATAAAGAGAATACAAAAACAATTAACGGGAATGCAAAACACTTAACGGGAATACGTGACAAGACAATTAACGGGAAGACAGAACAACGGGCGGGAACACAAGACAACTAAAAAGAATACGAGACAATTAACGGGAACAGTTAACGGAAGGGAAGAATTAAGGGGAAGGGAATTAAAAGGAACTGACATCAGCTCAAAACCCGATCCCCCCCTGCAACACAACGGGCGAACTCAAATGATTATTATGATTCACATTACTGTTGCGTGAATTCGTTTTACGTCTTACTCGTATTCGTCTTCCGATTATGAGTATTATTCGTATTCGTATTCGTTTTACTTTTCTTCTTCGCCTCCTTCCTATATGTCTTATGGTTTCTCCTCTTCCTCCTCCTCGTCCTCCTCCTCCTCCTTTTCCTCCTCCTCTTCCTCATCCTCCTCCTCCTCCTCCTCCCCCTCCTCCCCCTTCTCCACCTCCTCCCCCTCCTCCCCCTCCTCCTCCTCGTCCTCCTCCTCCACCTCATCATCATAATCATCATCATCCCTCTCCTCCTCCTCCTCCTCCTCCCCTCCTCCTCCTCCTCCTCCTCCTCCCTCCTCCTCCTCCTCCTCTTCCCCCGTAGACATTTTGGCTCGATGGCGGCGCCGCCTCCTGCTTGCGGTCGCGCCTCCCCCTCCTCCTCCTCCTCTTCCTCCTCCTCGTCCTCCTCCTCCTCCTCCTCTTCCTCCGCCTCCTCTTCCTCCTCCTCCTCCCCCTCCTCCTCCTCCTCCTCCTCCCCCCCATCCTCTTCCTTCTCCTCCTCCTCCTCCTCCTCCTCCGCGGGGCGGCGCGCCATGGAAGTCGACGTTTCCCACGCGGCCGCAGGCGCGCGCGCAGCCGGCGGCCGGCGGCGCCAGGGGCCGGGCGAGGAGGAGCAGAGGGACACGATGGAGGTGGATGCGAGCGCCAGGCTGGCATCCCAGTTTCGGGCAGCGATCTGGGCGGTCGATGCGCAAGGAGCATCGGCGCGACCAGCCGCCTGCAGGTCTTGTGGCCTGGTTTTTGAAACAGGCGAGTTGCGTTATCGCACCTGGGGCAACGGAGCGCGTTCACGCTGGACGTGCACTACCTGCCTGCAGGGCCGGCTGCCGCCCGGCGCGGAGTTCCGGCCTTATGGGAAAGGCGATGCGTTGAGCGCCGAGGCGGCGCGAGCGCAAACGGCAACGCGCGAGGCTTCTGGCGAAGCAGGAGCCGCCGCTGGAAGGGCGCCGCCGGCGCAGCAGCAGCAACACCTTCCCATGCAGTATCCAGCTTGGGACGACAACGAGCTACACGGCCAGGACTGGTGGGCAGCCCTGCCATGGGATGACTTGTTAACCACAGGGGCCACTACTCATGTGCAGATCCCAGACAGACTACGCGGCGCCTGCTCGCCATGGCCACGGCCGCAGTGGCATCCCTCTTTAGAATAGTATTGCACCCGACTCCCAAATCTTCAATACTGCCTGCAGTCCCAAACCAGCTGACGCTCCTTTCACAAACAGATAATACTCTGCCTCCCAGGACGATAGTGCCATCGCGCTCTGCGTTGTGCTCCGAAAAGATCCCCGCAGCACTACTCTTCCACTGGTTGGCTTCCACGTCCTTTTATGCCCTGCATAGTCTTCACCTGTCCATGCTGTAGGTCTTGTATGGACTCTGGTAGAGGTAGCATGACCTATCATGCGTCTTGGGGCACTCTTTCAATGCTATAAAACTCGTCAAAGAGCCCACGGCAGGCCTCGCCGCGCCCCTGGCCAGCTCTTCAACCGGGAACTGGACGTCCGATCGGCCCCGACATAGGACAAATGAGACTGCTCGGCCACACGCGGTGGCCACTCCTCCCATCCCCCTTCATCCGCTGGCAACTGCCTTTACCTCGCTCTCATGTAATCTTACCTCCTTCGCAAAAATCCCCGCGCGCCCCTGATCTGCTTCGCGCCGCGCACCGTCGCGAATAAATCCCCCAACTCTGCCAAACACCCCGATCGCCCGCTCGCCCCCGCCGCCCCCCCCACCACCATCGGGCCCGCACCGTCCGCGCGCCTTCGCCTCCAACTCCCCCCTGTTCCCTCTCTTTCGCGCCAATCCAGGTCAAGGTCGCTGCCTGACAAGATAAAGTCGCCACCGTGCACCGCGAAACCAATCCTTCTCGTCTTGCGTTTGAATGCGCGCAGCGGTGCCGCGCCGCTGGTAGCGCCAGCTAAAATCGCGAGGCCCGCGCAACAATCCCCCCGGTTACTGGCGGCATCTGCGGCCCCGGACAGGGATGCAAGAAGCTCGCCGCGCGCGCCTGGCCCCCCCCCCCCACCTCCCGGGACGTCTAGAAGGTGCCTTTTCTTGCGGGGGCATAAAAGCATGCCCTCTCGACATCGATGAACTCCAATTTGAACCCTTTCTCGCGTTCGCCCCCGTTGAACCCCCCCCCCGCCGCTGCCGTCGAAGACAATGCGCCTGAGCCTCTTGCGGAGGTGGGGCCGCGGATCGGTTTCTCGCCGCGGAGTTGCAGGGCGACAGGCGCCATCTGCCCAGGAACCTCCGGCGTCGCATTGCGCGCCTTTTCAGCGCGCATTACCGTTCTATTTGCGCTGGCCGGCGGATCGCGCATTCGCGTGCGTTAGTGCCAATTAATATCACTAGCGTCTATTATTGTCTCATTGTCCACGACCGCTTGCGAGTCTTCTCCAATGTCTCACGAGCGCACGCCACCGCCCAGTAGTGCCCCCCCCCACCACCACCACCACCCCCACCACCCTCGCGCTGGCCCCTGCAGAGCTGCCGCAGCGGCAGTGGGGGCGGGGGGGGGGCCCGCGCCATCAGCGCCCTCAGCACGCTGCTCGCTAGCCCAGGGGCTGAGCGACGGGGCGCGAGCAGCGGCGGGGGCGCGGGGCAGCGGCGGCGACGGCAAGCGAGGGCAAGGACGAGGGCGAGGACGAGGGAGAACGGCAGCGACAGCAGCCGCAGGACGCCCGCGAGGCAAAGAGCGCGGAGGAGGAGCGACGATAGCGACGATGGCAAGGACCAGCGCCGCCCAACCTGCAAATCGACCACGGCGCCCAAGAACGCGCGCGCGCTAACCAACTGCAGACAACGCCAATCCAAAAGAAAGATGGGAATTCCTCGACGCCGGATGCCCCCGGCAAGATGACGCGCAAAAGGCTGCGATTTATCTCCGCAATATCAACCCACCTCGCGCCTATCGGCCCCTTGCCTGCAACTGCCCTGCACAGCTCTTCCTTCGCTGTTTCACAAACTCAATGTTCTCTGAAATGCTCCATCTCCCCCCGTCGAGCCTTGGTCGCCAAGTTGGGGCCAAACTCATTTCCGCCGACGTCGCCCCAGGCGCGCGCTTGACAATCCTCGACGGTGCACAACTAGTAGGTCATTCATTCGAATGGGCCCGGCGCTCCCACGTTTGCCGCGCGCCTCGCAGGCGCGGAAAACCTCACCCGCCCAACATGCGAGAGGACGCGTTTCACAAGCGCTTGCCCTGGAAACATTCGGCGGCGCGTTTCGAGCAGGAGGGCGCACCCCCCCCCGCCCCCACCCCGCCCACATTCGGCGCTGCCGATCAAAACCAAGGGGGCCCCTCGCAGCGCTGGCGCCAGCGACGGCGCGGGCGCAGCGACGATAACCACCGCCGCCAGCACCGCCACCAC